CCCCCCCCCCCCCCCAGTGAAAATTCCTTAAAAAAGGCACTGCTGCCGTGATTTGTGTCTGAGCTTCCTGAAATGATATCTCAAACGTGGTCGTCCAGTGTAGGTAGTATTCCACACTAAGCTGCCGTGATTTGTGTCTGAACTACCTGAAAAGATATCTCAAACGTGGTGGTCCAGTGTAGGTAGTATTCCACACTAAGCTGCCGTGATTTGTGTCTGAACTACCTGAAAAGATATCTCAAACGTGGTGGTCCCGTGTAAGTAGTATTGTACAATAAGCTGTCGTGGTTTATGTCTGAACTACCTCAAACGATATATTTTTCTGGTAGTTCAGACACAAACGACGACAGCCTGTTGTAGAATACTATGAGATATTTTCTATGTTCTAGGTATGGCGCCTTACATCTATTATGGTCCTGGGGTAGTGTACGCTGTCCGTGGTCATGTTGCCAGGATAGTGTGCAGGGCCAGAGGCTCCCCTCCCATCACATACACTTGGGAAAAGAATGGTCGAAAAATTTACAACCTCAACCCCCCTGATAATGGCAAGAATGGCACCTACGTCATTCCAATAGTCCAGTGGAGTGATGTAGCTCAGTATACATGTATTGCGTCCAATGGCAAGACTCTTGGAGATATGTATAAATCGTCTGGAAGACTGGAACTAGTCAGTAAGTAAATGATGTCATTGTGTGACACACAATTCAAAGACGGTGATTACTCACTTTAATCCATTAATCTGCAGTGTCTTCAAATGCCCCTGACTTTATGATTTGTCTAGCGCCAGACAAGTTTACTTGCCAAGGGTAGAGTCTTGCGCATTGATGGATTAAAATATACATAATCCTTGTAATCCTACAGTAAATCCTAAAACGTGTTCTAAGCCTCATTCAATCTTACTCTAAACGCTTTAAATGTTTGTGACCCTGTTTTTAGATTTATATTGATATTAAAGGAATTTAATCAGCTCAGAGACCTCTGCTCGCAGGGAAAGATTACGGTTGTTTTTTTTAGCACAAAGGTCGCACAAACCAATTGAAATTGACTTTCAAATGAATGCAAATGAACTATATATACTCCATTGTTAAGCCCGCAACAATAGACCTTACCGATTATTCTCTTTTACCCAATGGCCTCGTTTTCGTGTCAAATACTTACTCGTGTTTTGTGCTTAGTAGGTTGAAAATTACTTTGTTATTGAGCCCAAGAACAGCAAGAAATAAATTCATCTGGGAAAACATGGGAATATAATCTTTATCTGCCCCTGACATGCTGAAAAAAGTTAACATGGAAACGCCATTGGGTAAAAGAGAATAGTCGGTCTATTGTGGGAATATTCGGACAAAGTCATTGAACTGAATAGAACTGGAACACTACCTCCAACGGGAAGGCCAAACTTGAAGGCCAGTCCCAGTCTTTTCACGCATGCGAAGAGCACTCGATCAGTCAATCATGATATAAAGACGCGGGTTAATCCGTATTTTGTCTTTTAGCTCCCACAGTGGTTGTGAATAAATCCATCACAATCTATGGGTCGAAAGGCAGCGATCCCTACCTCTACTGCGGGGTGCGTTACGACAAGAAAGTGAACGTCACCTACAGATGGTATTTCGCTGGCGACCGCATTGACGACTCTAGCTGGAGATACAAAGTGGACAAACGTTGGGGAAGACTCACCATTAGTAGTGTGAGTGAAGTCGATAATGGGATATATCGCTGTGACTCTTCTTCGGGTGTTGGTGATTTTTCTACCACTATTGAGCTGGTCGTACAAGGTAAGTTGGAGAAACGTTGTTGAATTTTGCGTCTGAACAACCTTTTAAAACAGTTCAGACACAAACCACAGCATTGACAAGAGATGATCCTTACTAACTGTTCACCCTAGAGGTTCAGTAAGGAACATCTCTTATTGATCCAGTGTTGCTTCAGGAGTAAACCTAAACTAAACTAACTTTATTTACACTGGATAACTCTATCAGTTCTAAACAGTTCTGCCTAGAGGTCCAGTAAGGATCATCTCTTATTAATCCAGTGTTGCTTCAGGAGGAAATTAAACAATCTTTATTTATACTGTAATATAATGATAATAATAGTTCTATCAGTTCAAAACTGTTCTCCCTAGAGATCCTGTAAGGATCATGTCTTATTAGTCCAGTGTTAAATATACTTATAGGAAACCTAAACTATATACTGTATGGCTCTATCGCTTCTAAACTGTCCGTTCTATCAATTCCTATAGAGGTCCTGTAAGAACCATATCTTATCAACGGGGTACTACAGAGATGAAAACCTGGTAAAACTGAGCATGTTGTATCAATGACTTTCATGACATTAAATTATGTTTCCACTTTATTTTGTAGCGCCACCATATAAAACAACCATACCTCAAGTTGACAGCATACGGCCTGACTCCGTTCGCTTGCTATGGAAGTCGGGCTACGATGGAAACAGTGCCATACAGTACTTCAGAATTGGTGTAAAGATTCCTATCAACAAAACTGAACACACTCTACCTCAGCACGTAATGGCTTCAGGACTTATCAAGAAATATATTGTTCCTGGACTGACTCCGTACACTCAATACCAGTTTCGTATGAAGGCAGTGAATTATGTCGGTGCCAGTCCCTGGAGCGATTACTCGGCTGTAATACAAACTCGCGAGGCAGGTGAGTCACTGAGCTCAACAATAGGCCTGGATGATGCATGAAGTCAGAGCTGTTCATATTTGTGTGCACAAATCTACCGTGTTTTTGCTGACATGTTAGAAGGGTTTTTACAGTTTCTGGTTATTGGTAGAAAACATTGTCTACCTAGTAATGAATAGTCTTAAATGACCTCTCGTTCTTCCCAAATTTACCGGTGAATAACTAGCTACATTTGGAGCTCACTCAAGGCTGAGGGTCTCAAGCAAGTGCAAATGAAAGAAACAAGAAATGATAAGACAATATTGTGTATTAATCTCTCTGTGCCAGTGTAGGTAGCGACGATATAACAAGACATTGAGGGATTGAGAGGGATACAACTGCTTGTATGTTTTGAAAGACAATGAGGGATTGAGAGGGATACAACTGCTTGTATTTTTTGCCAGTTGTATCTCTCCAGGGGTCGGTTGTTCAAAGGTGGGTTAGTGCTAACCCTGGGTTAAAATTTTACCTGCTGTTTTAGTTTGTGTATTTATACACGTCTGTTTATTTCAAAACTTGAGAGAAGTAATCTCCTATCGATCCAGACAAGATCTCTGAAGAAATATCTCCAATTTTATAGACAAGCCGTGAGGAAGTTTGCTTTGAATTTTAAGTTAACCTAGGGTTAAACTAACCCAGCTCTGAACAATCTGCCCCACGGTGTTAGCCAGAAAAAAAGTTTCGTCCGTTAAACGTAAATTGGGCAAGTTTTTTTGACCGATCAAAGTCCTTGTGTAGGAATAAATAGTGTTTTTTTTTCAACGTGTTTCTCCTTAGATGCAAACAACGGTAGCTTGGTTTTGTACATTTCATTTCCGGTGAATGAACACTGAAAAATGCACCCGATGGCACTTCGTTTTGTATATTTCATTTCAATGAACATGGATGCACACCGATTACACTTTGTTTTGTATAAATAAAACGTTCTTTGATATAATAATATAAAATCAAACGCAATGCACTTTCTCATCAGAAAAAATGAAAATCTTCCAGTACACCCAGTTGGGAAAGCCCCTTATCTACTTCATTGGGAAGAGTCCGTCAAACGGACAGTATATGGGCTAGCTAACACCCTGCTCTCAATCCGTACACAGTGTGTATTACATTGAAATGAGTCTTTGTATTCCTAGCTCCATCGTATAAATTGAAAAACCTCAAAGGAACCGCTGTGAATGAAAATACGATTGAAGTCACGTGGGAGGTAAGCTGAGCTCACTAGTGTTTGAGCTCTATCCAGAAATCTTCATTCTGTTTATGAAATGAGATGTGCACAGGTAGAAGTCTCGCATCTTGTCAACGAAATGTTTATAGTCTGCTTAAAATATTTTCTTTCCAGGATCCTCCCAAGTCCACCCATAATGGCATCCTACGTGGTTACTATGTGAACTGGCGGTACCAAGGTGCCACAACCGTAGACTTTCGTACGCACAAAGTAACACCTGCAACTACGAGAAAGTTGAGAATTAAAGGCTTGATTGTAAACTCTCGATATGAAGTGAAAATACAGATGTATAATGACGCTGGGGCAGGACCTTTTAGTGATTTGGAGTACATTAAAACTAAGGAAGGAGGTAAAAAATAATGTCTGCTGTACCAGTGCCATCAATATCTGCTTATGTAGTTGTTGATATTTCTTTCTAGTCCCAGCAAGCGCTCCACGTAATCTGGCCGTGAAAAATGTGTCCTCTCGTTCCGTTGTGTTGCAATGGGACGAACCTCCTCAACAATTCTGGAACGGGGACATCACACAATATACTGTAAGTATTCTTGTGTCGCACACGAGTTTTCAGTGAATATTTTAAAGCCGATATACACTGCACAACTTTTGCCTAAAACTGTCGCATGCAACCTACTTACAACTTGAGTTGTACTGTGTAAATCAAGCACACAACTCACCTGCGACAACCTAAGCGAGTTGTGTGTTTGGTTTACGGGACCGGCTAAACGGAGAGTTATGAAGTGCAGAGTTATCTCGGAGAGTTATGATTTCGGAATTATATTCGTACCACGCCCACTTTTCCCAACGACCACACCCAATTTCTCAACTTCCCAACGTTTCCTTGAACTAACATGAGAGACCCAGTAGTTGTAAGCAGATTGCATGCGATAGTTTTAGGCAAAAGTTATGTCGTGTAAATCAGCCTGGCTTTAGCAGTATTTACAGTATATGCTGATATGGCTGATATTAAAGAGGTAATGACACAATTTTGTGTAGATTCGTCTTTGGGAATTCGACAAGAAGGACCAAGTCGAGCAGCGAGTAGCGAAGCATGATGGGGCTGCCTTCAAACAAGTATTTAACGTGACAAAGTTGAAGACCTACACGCAATATACGTTTGAAGTAAGCGCACAAAACAGCGTTGGTGCAAGTCCTTACTCAAACGACGTGCAAGTCAGAACGACGGAAGACAGTAAGTCTGTGGTGATGTTTTGAAACTAATCCTAAACTAACCCTAATCCTAAACTAATCTTAAACTAACCTTAATTCTAAACTAACCCTAATCCTAAAATTAATCCTGAGCCTAATTCCTGCATATATTCATGATACAAAAAGTTAGTTTAGTTTAGGTTTCTTCCTGTAGTAAAACTGGATCAATAAGAGATGATCCTTATTGAACGTCTAGGAAGAACAGTTTAGAACTGATAGAGCTATCCAGTGTAAATAAAGTTAGTTTAGTTTTGGTTTCCTTCTGTAGTAACACTGGATCAATAAGAGATAATCCTTACTGGACCTCTAGGAAGAACAGTTTAGAACTGATAGAGCTATCCAGCATAATTAAAGTTATGTTTGCGATGTTACTCTGAGTGCATATCCACACCGGGCGAGCTTGAAAAATATGCCCGGCCACGGTGGGATTCGAACCTACGACCTTTGGAATACTAGCCCAATGCTCTTCCAACTGAGCTACGCGGTCAGGACGGTTCGAGTAAGTGATATTTCGGAACAGTCTAGTTCCTTCAATACCAATGTGTTCTAGTAATATTTTTCAAGCTCGCCCGGTGTGGATATGCACTCAGAGTAACATCGCAAACATATTATTCACCTGAGTACACAACACTAACACAGAAAAAATAATTAAAGTTAGTTTAGTTTAGGTTTCCTCTTGTAGTAACACTGGATCAATAAGAGATGATTCTTACTGGACCTCTAGGGGGAACAGTTTAGAACTGATAGAGCTATCCAGTGTAAATAAAGTTAGTTTAGTTCAGGTTTTCCTCCTGTAGTAACACTGGGTCAATAAGAGATGATTCTTACTGGACCTCTAGGGAGAACAGTTTAGAACTGATAGAACTATCTAGTATAAATAGAGTTATAGTTTAGTTTAGGTTTCCTCATGTAGTAACACTCTAATTACTTGAGAACAGTTTAGAACTGATAGAGTTAACAAGTACAAAGTTAGTTTAGAGTTTAGTTTCATTAAAGTTCAACTGTTGAAATAACTGACTTGTCGATCTGTTATTTTAGTTCCTAGTGCACCACAAAATCTGCAAATCGTGGACCAGTTTTCAGACACCATCAGTGTAAATTGGGTGCGACCTCGCGAAGTGAACGGCGTTTTGACTGGTTATATTGTGAAACACTGGAAGGTTGATGACCAAGGTCGGAGAACTGGCGAGATAAAACAAGAGGAGGTTGGGGGCGGTGCCCTTCAGGCAGGCATCACGGACTTGCTGGCTAGAACACGCTATATGATAGAGGTTGCAGCCAAGACAAACGCTGGAGTCAGCAAGTCTGCTAAGATTGAAGGATGGACACAGAACGTTGCAGGTATGTAGCAATTCATGAGTAATTGATACTACATTGATAGATAATCATGCAACAGATGATGATCATGATGGGTTAGGATGATGATCATGATGGGTTAGGATGATGATCATGATGGGTTAGGATGATGATCATGATGGGTTAGGATGATGATCATGATGGGTTAGGATGATGATGATGATGGGTTAGGATGATGATGATGATGGGTTAGGATGATGATGATGGGTTAGGATGATGATCATGATGGGTTAGGATGATGATCATGATTGGTTAGGATGATGGGAGGCACCCTTAGAAAGCCTTCGACTCAGTGATCAGGTTGATCTGGGTATTTCGTAATTTAGCTGAGCTCACAGCTGCAAGTCAAGATGATTAACACGCACCGTGTCTTAATTCCTAGAACTTCCTGGATCTCCCACTGTTCTACATTTCCTGGAAATCAACGCTACAGCACTAGAACTTAATTGGCAAGAAGGATGGAAAGGAAACTCACCAATCATAGAATACTACATTCAGGGAAACAACGAGACGGGTTTCGCCAATGATCATAACTCCGAATGGTTCAAAGCCCTGAATGTGAAGGATCCGTATAAGATTTACAACTTGCCTCCGGTGATTATTGAAAATTTAATCCCAGCCACGACTTATCGTTTCCGAGTCAGAGCCAAGAATAAAGTTGGCTACAGTTCCTTCAGTACAGTGTCTGGTGACGTCACGACTTCTCAAGCATGTAAGTTGATCCAGGAATACACCCGTCCGTTGCGGAAACTACTTAGCCCTGGCTATAGAGCCTTGCTGCTGAGACATTGGTTTAATTAGACGTTTATCTTGTTACTGATTACAAAATTATGAACTAATTCACGTCAGTCCCATCCCAGTCAGTCGCATGTCAGAAGAGTGCTTTTAATTTGACCCTAACAAACACTGCTTGTTTTCCCCGTTCCTTTTCTTGATAGTTTCTAAAGCTCTTTTTTATTTTAGGGCCATGGTCACCGCCGGACAATATTCGAGTAAGGCGCACACAATACCGTGGGGAAGTACTTTTAAATTGGGATGTAAGTAACGCAGTGAATGAACCGTTTGCATTATAGACTAAATTTTGATGTAAACAAGTCTAGACAAAAATTTCATCATAGCTTGAAAGAGCATCACAAAATTAGTAATATTCCAAAGTTTCGTTGCGAAATGTTGTAAAATGCGGATAATATAACCTTGCGAAGTTTGCCGTTTTTCAGTCATTTTCAATTACAAACGCGAAATTGACAGCCCCAAAGGGTATTGGGCTGTCAATTTCCCCCGCGTGATGCAAAATGACTGAAAAACGGCAAACTTCGCAAGGCTATATTATCGCAACGAAACTTTGGAATATTACTAATTTTGTGATGCTCTTTCAAGCTGTGATGAAATTTTGATCTAGACTTGTTTAGATCAAAATTTAGTCCATAATGCAAATGGTCCATTAAGGGGCAGTTCGATCCATTTTATGAGTTCATTGGCGAAGTAATTTTAAAAATTACTTCGAGAAAATCAAAGCCGAGAAAATCAAAGCTAAAGTTTATGTAAATGATTTTTTATCAGACATAAAACCAGCGACACGGAGTGATTTACTCATGAGTCATTAGGGCCATTTATACGGGACAAAATAAGACGCGACTTACATAAGACGCGACTTAAATAAGACGCGAGTTTGTCGTATAAAAGATACAAAATTCTTATGTAAGACGCGTCTTGGATAAGACGCGTCTTACATAAGAACAGGACTTTTAGCTGTTCTTATTTAAGTCGCACCTTAAATAAGAAATTTTAGACAAAAATTCTAACTACACATGCCCGAAACTTGAAACAACGTAAAATTATTAGCCTTGCATATTCGAACAAAAACAACCGAAACAACATTATAGCTATAGCAAGTAAATAAGAATAAATCCGTAGAGAACCATTTATGCGATAACTCAGCTTATATAAGACGCGTCTTATGTAAGACGCGACTTATTTTGTCCCGTATAAATGGCCCTATTGAGTTTTTTCAAGCAAATTACCAAACGTTTAGATCTGCATATATTAACTATTTTTCATTATCTAATTTAGCCGCCCCCTAGAGAGACATGGAACAGCGAGTTCATAAAATATACTATAGAACTTCAAGAAAATGGAGAACGCGGGAATTTCACGAAATTCACCATCAGTGGTATTCGAGGGAATACGAAAAGATACAGATTGACCTCTCTTAAAAAATATACAACATATGAGATCAAAATGAAAACAGTCAACCAGCTTGGCGACAGTCCTTACTCCCCCGCCATTATTCACCAGACACAGGAATATGGTATGTAACATTACCTCAACCCAGGGGGGTGTAGAAACATGACTTGCGAAACATTGTTTTCCTAGCCATGTTCCCCAAAGGTGGACTTACCATGAAACATTGAAGGCTCTCCTTTTTTTCATGTAACTGAGAACATATCTCGCGTTTTCCATTAATTAAAGTTTTCTCTTAGTGCCTGAAGCTCCACCATCAAACATCCGGGCAATCGGTATGTCTGGATCCAGTATCCATATATCCTGGGGCGAGGTTCCTGAGTCAGGAAGGAATGGCATTGTGCGAGGTTACAAGGTAACTAATGATGCGGTCACAATGTCGTCTCAGCTACACACGTAAAAACGCACAAGTTTGTTACAAGTCTGTGTTCACAAGCTTTTAACAGGATGTATTCGTACTGCTTGTCACAAGTTGTCAACAGGTTTTTGAACAACTGGTTGACAACTTGTAGCAACCTTGTCGAAATTATCAGACTTGTTGCAAGGTTGTTCTGACAAGTCTGTGATATGCTTGATATATAACAAGATTGTTACAACCTTGTGTTGACAACCTTGTAACACCCTTGTTATATCATGGCTGTAACAAAGTTGTTAGCACAATCTTGTAACAAGGCTGATAATGCCATCAAGCTTGTTACAAGTTGTTAACAGCTTGTTTCAAACTTGTCACAACAAACTGGGAACAAGCAGTGCGAGCACAACTTGTTGACAGCTTGTGAACAGACGTGTAACAACTTGTTTGCAGACTTGTTTTGCCAAATGCGTGTTTTTAGACAAACTTTTCTAATTTCTGATCCAATTTTCATCTAAATGCCTATGTACTAATCAATCTTTGGGCAATGTCCATATAATCACATAAATTTTCGTATGAATACGCTTGATAGTTTTTGAATAATCGTACTGACACTAACTCGTAACCAGTCTTTCCTCGGGTATGTTTCAATCGCGGGCGGAAGCAGGAAAGGCAGCAAGGGCACCGCCTGCATGCATCCTGCATGCCCTTGCTTTCTGCTTCCGCCCGCGCTTGAAACACAGAGACGACTGGGGACGAGTCAGGTGCTGACAGGCAAATAGAGACCTTAAGATTGACGTTTACGGCAAACGTCAAACCGCTAGCGAAGTTTTTGATTTTGCAACTCTATTATAATAGCTTTTACACCAGTTTTGAAGTATGTTAAATTTATTAAACTTGTGCTCTTTAGCAATGATTTAAGAAAGCAAATTAACCACTAGTCATGCCATTCACCAAAGCAGTAAATTAAGATTTGGCGTTTGAAGTTGGCGTTTGGCGTATAGATTTCATGCTTGAACTGCTACGAGGGCTTGTAGTCGTTAAAGCATGAAATTTATACGTCAAACGTCAACTTCAAACGCCAAATCTTAATTTACTGCTTTGGTGAATGGCATGACTAGTGGTTAATTTTCTTTCTTAAATCATTGCTAAAGAGCAGAAGTTTAATCAGTTTAACATATTTCAAAACTGGTGTAAAAGCTACAATAATAGAGCTGTAAAATCAAAAACTTCGCTTGCGGTTTGACGTTTGCCGTAAACGTCAATCTTAAGGTCTCTAATAACCACAGAGACCAACGCGTATAAAAACTTCCTGCTGGAGGAAACAAAGACGAATTTCCAGAGCGTATTTTCAATGACCATGAAGTAGCTCACTCTTCCTATCTATTCCTAGATATTCTATCGTCTGGTGCAATATGCTCCTCAAGACTTCATTGAGATCAAACTAGAAGATGTGAAGCAATACACACTGAAAAACCTTCTCGGCTACACTCGGTATGATATCAGGATACTCGCCTACACTCAGATTGGGGATGGAGTACGAAGTAAACACCTTCAACCTTATCCACGAACTTTGGAAACTAGTGAGTAAATATCTGACTGGGCACTACGATTTGCTGCCCTAAAATTGGCGGGTGGGTTAGCTACCTGATTTTTTAACAAATCTTGTGTTTACTTTAGAACCCGGTCCCCCAAGCCATCTGCGCTTCCCAACCGTCACGTCATCAGTGGTCGTGGTGACCTGGGCACCACCGGAAATGACGGGTGGTAATATTACCCAATACCGAGTGAGCTACAGACTGCGAGATGATGGTAGTTCAAAACTAGTTACCAGACCTACACTGGCCTTGACGAGACGGTCAGATTCAATCACTGGTCTTTCTGTTGAGAAGTTTTATATTTTTGAAGTTCAGGCTTACACGGCCGAAGGCTGGGGAGAGAAAGTCAGTGCCGAGATTTATACCAGTCAAGACCGAAATTCAGGTTTGATAATTTTATTTTGTATTTATTTTGTAATTTTAATCTCCTAGGGAGAACAGTTTAGAACTGATAGAACTATCCAGTATAAATAAAGTGAGTTTAGTTTAACTCCTATATTTCTATATTTCAGAAAAACCAGAAAGACCGATAATCTTACCAATTTCTGATTCCGACATAACTTGGCGCTCGATAAAAGTGCGCTGGGCTGTCGGAAGACGCCGAAATCAGCCAATCAGATATTTCACTCTGCGACTGCGCAAGGCCCAGGGTGCCTGGGAAACTCATCCTAAACCCTTGACTGGCGACGATGATGAGTTGGAGGTGTGGGATCTGGAGTCTAATCATCTATACAGCTTTGAAGTTACTGCGACTAATGATGTGGGTACCAGTCCTCCGAGTAAACCCTCGCCTCCTGTGAGAACTTTAGCAAAATGTGAGTATGATATAGTTTGCATGGTAAGGTAGCTTTCAGTAAGCCAGCAGGTGGTGTTTCAGAAATTTCAACACTTGCAATGTTGACTACCACATATAATTATTGTTTTCATCCTGATAACTCCAGGTTCCCAATTCACCACTATCTGTTTCATAATTGAATTATTTGAAACCATTAAAAAAGTATTTCATTTATTGCTTAATATAGATGTATTAATATCAAAAATTTAGATTAGTGTTTAATAAGTACATTATTTTCAGATTAACACATCTGGCGTGTACTTTTTGCTTGCAGTAGAGCCATGCATTATTCAAACTTATTTTTCTTTCTAGCTATGCCAGGAAGTCCCCGTGAAGTGAGAATAAGGTCATCTACACCAACTTCATTTACTATAACATGGAAGGTACTCTATTTATTCCTTGCTTAGCCCTGATGTTATTCCGGCTGTACACCAGGCAAGCTGAAATATTGCTTGACGTCAAAGGTCGTAGATTTGATTTCTATCGAGGTCAAGTAATTCGTCAGCTGCCCAATGCAGAGCCACTCAGAGCAGCATAAGTGTATATATAAAGAGATGTTAAATCTAAAATTATTTTAATTTCCGCTAGCCTCCATTTTTGGCTGACATTGAAACGACGATTACGAAGTACCGTGTGAGTTACAGAATACATGAACCAAATCCGTCCAGAAACCCAGACTACCTAGATGTCTTTTTGACTGAATCTAGAAGAGAATATCTTATCACTGGGCTGCATGAATACACGTTGTATGATATAAGATTGAATGCTATTGATGCGATTAATGACAACTTACCAAGCTACCTGGAAACACGACGGACTTCAGCTGAACGTAAGTTCTGTGCAGGGCTTTCTAATGTGGGGTTTTGGTGGTTGTTAATGAAAGTTCTTTTCAACTTTGTGATTAGGTATCAATTCAATTTCCTGCAATATGCAATTGTTGTTTGATTATATTTTCATCTCATTCACATGTGAGAAAGCAGTTCCAGTTTGACTCTATCACACAATAGCGAGTTTTCTTCGAGTACTCCAATTTCTACTTGTACAGTAGTAACACTGGACTGTAGAAATAATAGATATCTTGTTTGTGATGTTACTCTGAGTATGTATCCACACCGGGCAAGCTTGAAAAATATGAACCTACAACCTTTGGATACTTGCCCATACATTTGGATGCATAACATCACAAACATCATGTTCACCTGAGTACACAACACCAAATCAAAACAATAGATATCTATTATTTTTATGCACTTTCGTCCACCTCTATCATCAAGTATGAATAAAGTTACTTTCGTTGAGGATATCTCATTCCTACGACATACTGTAGTGTGCTTATTTCAATTTCTATATTCTCTGTAGGACCTAGACGTCCCAGTCTGAGCAAAAACGCGAATGTTGGTCCAACTTCTGTTACCATATTCTGGGGCGCTCCTGGCCAAACAAAGACACCTATCTTGGGATACAAGGTACATGGTATTGAACTGTGGGTGACACAATGGTTGATGCTTGTGTCTTTCATCTCTGTAACCCAGCCACAATTCCTGCAATATGTCTCATCATAATTTCATCTCAGTCACATGAGAGAAGAGTGCTTCCAGTTTACAAACACATGAGGTCTTGTCAGATTACTCCTGGTTTCCTTTTGTAATACCACCACGATAATAAAATTAAAAGGATGGTCCATACTGGACCTCTAGGTACTGTACTGTAGAACAGTTTACAACAGATAGAGCTATCCAGTATAAACAAAGTTAGTTTAGTTTAGGTTTTCTTTTGTAGTAACACTGGATCAATAAGAGACTATCCTTACTGGACCTCTAGGAAGAACAGTTTACAACAGATAGAGCTGTCCAGTATAAACAAAGTTAGTTTAGTTTAGGTTTCCTCCTGTAGTACCCTGGTTGCCAGAGGTTCTGTATCTTTCGCCTTATTCCCGCTCGTATATTTATTTTACGCGAGGCGAAGAGAACCTCTGGTGGTAATCTCTCTTCCTTTGGTACAAAATTTGTACCAAGCACATGATTGGTTAGTTATAATTAGCAGTCACATGAAGTGATGCGATTGGCTAGACAAAAAAACCTGTTTATAAATCTCAGAGAACATGATCACGCCGGGTCAGCTCTTCCCCAAAATCGGCCATCTGATATAAACTTTTTCAATATATTTCGGATGGACATGAAACTTGCTACATCAATATAACTTTCCATTCCGAACAATCGTATGTTTTTTATTTTTGAGATTTAACGGTTTTTGGCGGGAAAATGACGTCACGAAACCTCCTGTTAAAATTTACTTTCAATATCTTAATAGTTTTGTTGCAGAATTTGGATGAACATGTCATGAACAGTTCAAAACTGAAAACGGATTTTAAATATCTAAACCTAATCCAAAGTTATTTCACTATAAAAACCGTGAAAAATCTAAAAATAGTAACAAAATGGTGGAAAATTCGATTCTAACCTCCCTGTATCTCGTGATTAGATTAAGATATTTAAAATCTCTTTTCAGTTTTGAACTCTTCATGACATGATCTTCCACATTCTGCTTAAAAACTATTAAGATATTGAAAATAAATTTTAACTGGAGGTTTCGTGACGTCATTTTCCCGCCAAAAACCGTTAAATCTCAAAAATAAAAAACATACGATTGTTCGGAATGGGAAGTTATATTGATGTAGCAAGTTTCATGTCCATCCGAAATATATTGAAAAAGTTTATATCAGATGGCCGATTTTTGGGAAGAGCTGACCCGGCGTGGATGTAAACAAAATGCAGAAATAATACGAACGTATTAAAATGCTTTACTTGGTGTGGGTTTATATATTTGAGATTAACTTAGTTTGTTTCGCTATAAAACGATTTTCTGCGCTGGAGAAGACCTGCCATCACGGCATGACTTGAGTTGACGGCATGACATGTTCAGTTACAGTATTAATATTTGTAAAATATATAGTGTTAGTCACTTGCTTTATATCGTTCAAGGTTTTAAATTTTGGTAATTCTTTGACTTTAATAGTTATTAATATGATTTATTTTGCCAATATTTTCCCGTTGTCTGTTAAGGACAACGTACATACTGGCTCCGTTGCACACATATATATATATAAATATTTATATATTTATATTCTTTCACTTTTGACTTTAGACGTTCCTAACGTTCGCTATTACAAACGGCATTCCACAAATTTAACAATCAGTATATAAGGTGGCTTTGTGTGTTGCGAGAATAATCTACATGTTTCTAATGAATAACCTACATGTTTGGGATGCTTATTTTTAATATTTTACACAAGGCTGCCAAACAGTCTGAAGAGAGCTATTTTGGTAGTATGACAAACCCGGAAGTTTAAAAACGTCACAAAATATAAAACCGGTTTTGCAAGTTCTCAACGGCAACGTCAGCATGGAAGTGAGATTTGTATCGCGTGCCACCAGAGGTTCTCTTCGCCTCGCGTAAAATAAATATACGAGCGGGAATAAGGCGAAAGATACAGAACCTCTGGCAACCAGGGTACTCCTGTAGTAACACTGGATCAATAAGAGATGATCCTTACTGGACCTCTAGGAAGAACAGTTTAGAACTGATAGAGCTATCCAGTATAAATAAAGTTAGTTTAGTTTAGGTTTCCTCCTGCAGTAACACTGGATCAAATACATCCTTACTGAACCTTGGGAGAACAGTTAAGTACTAGATAAAACATGAGCAGCCGATAGATCGGATGCGAATGTTTTATCGTACTTAAAAAATGACCCATCTTATGAGTTCATTGGCGAAGTAATTTTAAAAATAAACATTGTCTAAGCCGAGAAAATCAATGCTGAAGTTTATGTAAATCAGGACAAATCTTTATCCGATTTACAAACATTTATTATTAAACATTCATTTCTTTTGTATTTTCCTCGTGAATTATTAATGATTTTTTTAAGAATAGATATAGAGTTATTCAGTATAAATAAAGA